AAAGGGCACTCCTACTATGTTAAAGTCACCTGCTAGTATGTTAATACTATTGTCCTTGAAATGCGGTGACCATTTATCAAAAAAGGTTGATCTGTCTTTAATATTTGGGGAGCATAGACATTTGTAACATAGTAGGAGTGCCCTTTGTATAGGAATGATAATGAGATAAATCTCCCCCTCATGCAAGAGTTTAATGTCTTGAAATTTTATCTCTTTCTTGCCTGCCAAGATTGCTGTTCTTTCTGAGTCATATATCCATTGTTGTTTAAGGAAATTTCATATCGACTGATTGTTTAAGTTTGTTTCCTGTAACATAATGAGGTCTAAATTATATGATTTTAGTAATGTCATTGTTTTTTGTCTCTTGTCTTGATTATTAAGTCCTTTTACATTTAGTGTTGCGATTTTAATTAATGTTTTTGTCACCATATAGGAAAGATGATAGAGATATGCTCTTACTGAGCTTTTGAGGAATTCTCATTACTCCGTCTCTTTTTATATGGTACCTGTCTTGTTGCAATTATTTTGCAGTCATTTCTGGGTCTTTTATCTTTTTTCTTTTTGTAAGTTACGGTGGTAAAATCTTCATCCATTGGGTCTGATTGAGGAACATTCTCTTCAGAACCATTTGTATTAGTATTAACTGATTTTGATAGTAAAGTATCTAGAGCAAGCTCATCCCTTGTAGAGAGCTCTTCTTCGGAAAAAGGACTAGCTTGACCATTTTCCTTTTGTTGATTCTCTTTTTTAGTGGTTATAGGTATAGTCACAGTTTCTTCTTTATGATGTTCCTCATGAGTTATTTTCATGTTATTTGTTTCTTCATCTTGAGATTTATCATGTGATATCTCCATATTATTTATTTTGTCTTCTTGAGCATTCTCATATAGCAGCCTCTTTTAAGATAGATTTTTCTTCAGAAGGCTGAGTATTTTTGGCTTCTTTGATTCTTTCTTTGGAAGCCTCCTTAAAAGCTCGGTAATGCTGTCAGAGTGTGACAGAT